GAGTAATATTCCATGGTGTATATGTACCACAGCTTCCTCATCCATTCGTCTGCTGATGGGCATCTAGGTTGCTTCCATGTCCTGGCTATTATAAACAGTGCTGCGATGAACATTGGGGTGCACGTGTCTCTTTCAGATCTGGTTTCCTCGGTGTGTATGCCCAGAAGTAGGATTGCTGGGTCATATGGCAGTTCTATTTCCAGCTTTTTAAGAAATCTCCACACTGTTTTCCATAGTGGCTGTACTAATTTGCATTCCCACCAACAGTGTAAGAGGGTTCCCTTTTCTCCACACCCTCTCCAGCATTTGTTGCTTGTAGACTTTTGGATAGCAGCCATCCTGACTGGTGTGTAATGGTACCTCATTGTGGTTTTGATTTGCATTTCTCTGATAATGAGTGATGTTGAGCATCTTTTCATGTGTTTGTTAGCCATCTGTATGTCTTCCTTGGAGAAATGTCTGTTCAGTTCTTTGGCCCATTTTTTGATTGGGTCATTTATTTTTCTGGAGTTGAGCTGGAGGAGTTTCTTGTATATTTTAAATGTAAACTGTTTGGAAGCCTCTTCTCTGTATCAGTCATTTATACCTCCTCATTTTGACAGCCTGTATAAATACATCACCACCTAGAAATAAGGATGAAAGGATCCACCTGTGTGACCACATTCTCAGGCTTGGCCTTTACACAGAAGTTCCTGGATGAAGATTAAATCAGACAACAAAGCCTGTAGGGTGCATAGTCTCCTGCAAGTTTCTGCACATAACATCTTTGGTCTTGGAAAGCCGGTTGGTTTCTGGACCAGGAGGGAGGTTAGCTGGGTGGACCCAGGGGTTAACAAAGCTGGGTACCACAGGGCGCCGGTGATGTTAGGGGCTCCAGACTTAGTGTTGGACCAGATAACTCCCAACTTTTCTATCCCAATAAACTTAGTCACCAAATTCTTTTCATTGGAAAGGATGAGTCTAAGAAATTCTGTGGAATAGGGGCTAGATTGCGAGTGTGATCATCCGGGGCAACATGAAAGTTCAGACCAAGAGAAACAGCAAAACTGGACTGTGTGCTCAACGTTCTGTCCTTGGCAGTGGGTCTCCCGGGATCTGGCCTTGGCCTGGGTCCTGGGAGCCAGCCAAGCACAGAGGAGGGATGTGGCTGCAGATCTAGAGCCCAAAATCAACGTTCAGAATCAAACCGGCAGAGATGGAAGAGTGGGAAGGACCTGGGCAGAAAGGCTGCAGTGACAAAACTGCAACCAGGGACTCCAAGGTGAGCATGGCCAAACACACAGGGAAGGAGGAGACAGCAGAGAAGAGGAGAGTCTGTGAGTGTTGGGACCACTGTGGGGCCCTGGGGTGTTGTTTCTGCGTGGGGAAGGCACAGAAAGGCAGGCTGGGCACAGCAAAACCGGGGTTCCCACGCCGGGAATGGAGTTGAGAGAGTTACCAAGATGGAAGGGCGGCCAGAAGCTGACGTCAGAGCCACGGTCTAGGGTTAGCAAGACACAATCAAGTTCAAATACCAGTAGAAGGTGAGATGGCAGGGTAGATGGACAGCTTTGGCCTTGACAGGATGCCCATTTCAGTGTCTTGCTTGTGTGAACAAATTGAACAATCCATGACGTCTGGGTGGATCACATGTGTGTTAATAGGGCCAGGGCTGGAAGGGACACTTTATGCTCAACACAGATGCTCCTTGCACAACCAGTAATGGAAAAGAACTCCAGTGGCTCAGGACGATTTCATCCCAGTAGTGGGAAAAAGAAACACAGACTCACAAGGTCATGACACCCTGGGTCTGTTGCTTCCTTCTCATTCACAGGGAACAGTGTCTGCCCGTGGGAGTGAGCCATCTACAAGGCAGAGCTGGATTTCATAATCTGGTCTGGAGCTCCAGGGGCCAGGCTGAAGCCTTGCAAGGGGAGAAGGCAGGTTCTGAATGAGAACATTGAGCGGACGTTTTCTGGAAGCCTGTTCAGGGCTTGTCATCCAGGCTGGACCCTGGGGATGCTCTGGCTGCTGGAAGGAAAACTGCTGATGAAGGAGGATGCAGATCTATAAGCTAGAGGATTTATTTTTATTTGCTGAATTTTTGCCATTTTCAGATTTTCCTGCTTCAGTTATTTTGTCATCAGGATTTTTTTTTTACCTTATTTTTCCCTCCTTTGCCAGTAGGAAAATGTGTGTTTCACAATTTCTCTAGAATGTCGTCTCCTCTTTCACCCAGGGGCAGGGGTGGATCTGGTTTTGTGGGGCCTGAAGCTTACACAGTTTGGGAGTGGTCCTCTTTAAGAAAAAGAATAGAAAAATTTTAACATGAAGCCCAAGTCACTATGTAGTCAGGCCATCTACAAATGAACTGGTGACCAGATGGCTTCCCAGATAACACAGTGGTAGAGAGTCCACCTGCCAATGCAGGAGACGTAAGAGACGTTGGTTTGATCCTTGGGTTGGGAAGGTCCCCTGGAGTAGGAAATGGCAACCCACTTCAGTTTTCTTACCTGGGAAATTCCTTGAACAGATGAGCATGGTGGGCTACAGTCCATGGGGTCACAAAGAGTTGGACACGACTGAGTGACTGAGCAGGCGTAAGATGAAATTAGGTGCCATGGTGAAAATATGAATTTGGTATGAGAAAATAAGCCACAACATGTTACAGATTTTAAAAAGTTGTCAAAAAGCATCATTAGATCTAGAAAAATATCGTACTATTTTTATTAATGAGGTGTCTGGCTATCATATGTTTTCCTACATTTTTGGCTGCATACTCTGACCACTTTTTCATTTAGTAAAAATTTCATACTATTTTTGTTGTTGTTCAATTGCTGATGTATCCAACTCTGTGACCCCATGGACTGCAGCACATCAGCCTTCCCTCTCCTTCACTGTCTCCAGAAATTTGTTCAAACTCATGTCCATTGAGTTAGAGATGCCATCCAATCATCTCATTCTCTGTCGCCCCCTTCTCCTCTTGCCCTCAGTCTTTCCCAACATTGGAGTCTTTCCAGGGAGTTGACTCTTCACATCAGGTGGTTCAGTCTTCCCTTGAATTTGGTTATTTTACTATTTGATAGTTTAGCAAAGTTTCCTTAGCTTCTTGACTCAATTTTGATGATGTGTAAAGTTTCCGAATCAGTATTAAATTTGGGAAAATCTCTATCAATCTTCCTTCCCCCAGGGGCTGTTATGGACACACTCAACTTTTTGGGTTTACTGCTGCAAGTTTGTGCCTTCGAAACACAGGAGTTCTGATACTATCTATTCTGCATTGTTCCCAAGAAAGAAGAACAAAATCACACAACATGTTTATAATTTCACACACTGCATTTTGGAGTATAATCCCTGTAAGAAAGAACTTAAATTTTGAATAGGCATCTGAACTAAATCCTCTGCTTACAATTTTTGCGCTTGATGTGGAGGAACTTTTATGGGATAACTTTTTTTTTTTTGGCATAAACAATAGAAATCTATGTTCTCACAATCCTGAAAGCTATAACACCAAGATCAAAGTGTCTGCAAAGCTGGTTTCTTTGGAGCCTGTCTCCTTGGTTTGCACATGGCCTTCTTCTCCCTGTTTTCACATTTTCTTTGCTCTGTAACTTGATGTCCAAATTTTCTGTTCTTATAAGAACATCAGTTATATTGGATTAAGACCCACCCTAATGACCTCATTTGACTTCGCCAGTGGCTCAGTGGTAAAGAATCCACCTGCAATGAGGGAGACAGGGGTTCAGTCCTAGGGTTCGCAAGATCCCCTGGAGGAGGAAATGGAAGTGGTGTCACTTCTGATGCTGTTCATTTTAACCTTGTTTCTTCTCCACTGCCCACGTGAATCCAAGGTCAGGCCCTGGAGCTCCCACGTGTGTTGCATGGGAAGACAAAGACTTCCTGAGTCTTTGTCCCATCTGTGTCTGACCTAGTGGAGTCAGCAGGTGGGAGGGAGGAGAATTGGAGAATTCCTGGAAGCTTCTCCTGTATCAGCTGGGAATGACTTAAACATACATGGAAACGACTGTAACGTATAGATAAATAGAGACATAAACACAGACATGGATATGGATATAGATGAGTTTAGTGGGATACAGATGTGTGTATTTTATATATATAATATAATAATAATATATATCTAATACACATGTGTATCCCACTAAACTCAGCTTCTCTTTGGACAGATCCCCAAAATGCCCATCGACTCTCCAGTGCCACCTGATATGGAGAGAGAGGTGGCAATAAGGACATTGAAGGGCAGAGAGATAATGGCCTTGGCCATGAACAGCCAACACATCCTCCTGTGCGAACATCACCAAAAACTTGTGATCCTGTGACCACGTCGCTAGGGTCCACCCCAGGTTATGGAAGAAACTTGGTAAATGCAGAGCCCAAAGTTGATGGGCTGGAAAGTCAAATCTTTTCTCAAATACTCAGAAGTCCTGTTTATAAGTTCCTAGATTGCCTTTTCATTCCTAGAGAGAGGTGCTTTAATTCCTATGCTTTTAATGCCTGTTTTCTTATTTTTCTCTGGGTTTTCCAGGCAGGCACTTTAGCCAGCTTCCCACATGGTGATATAAAATACTAAGGTTTTTTGATTTCTGTTAACTGTTGCTATTTGGAAAGTGCAAAGTTTTCAGATACCGAAGTTGATTGGGTTGGTACGGTCCAGAAACACGGGGAGCCAGCTACTCGCATTCAGAATCTCTATTTTGGTGTCATCTCCTCCTGTCGTGGATTTAGGACACAGTAAAGTGATGTTGCTGGGGCTCAGAAAAGGAAGATGAACTCCCAGGGTTAAGACTTACGCTATTACATTGTAAATCACTAGACTGAAAAAAAGAATCTGAAGAATTTAAACCTCCCAGATTTCTAAAATGTTTTACTGTATGTTTAAAAAAATAAGGTGTTGGCAAGGGTTTGGTTTTATAGATCCGCCTGTTCTCGCTGGTGTGTGATGACTCAGCATGCAGGGTGGGCAGAACGCTGGCTCTGTGTGGCCCCCTGTACAGGCTGGGTTCATGGCCAGCCGCACCCAGCCCGGGGCATCTGGCCCCATACAGACCTCAACGCAGAGTCACTTCCTCCACAGATGCAGCCGCAACCTGGCCATGAAGAGCGTGGATTCCCTAAGATTCTGGGATCCAGGTAAACTTCAGGCCTCATTTAAATTTTTTTTTTAAGTTGATTTTTTACCACTAACCCTTGTAAAAGAGGAAAAACAGCTTGAGGTAATATTGTATTCTATTATGAAATAAAATTTTAATAATAATATCTGGCCTTACAACTTGTTTAAAAGAAAAATGAACAGTCACTTATAAGACAGAAAAAATAAAATTATGCTCCAATATCTCAGTTTCAACTTTTTTTTCAGTTCAGTTCAGTTCAGTTGCTCAATTGTGTCCGACTCTTTGCAACCTCATTGATGGCGGCACGACAGGCCTGCCTGTCTATCACCAACTCCCAGAGTTTACTCAAGCTCATGTCGGTGATGCCATCCAACCATCTCATCCTCTGTAATCCCCTTCTCCTCCTGCCTTCAATCTTTCCCAGTATCAGGGTCTTTTCCAATGAGTCAGTTCTTCCCATCAGGTGGCCAAAGTATTGGAGCTTCAGCATCAGTCCTTCCAGTGAATATTCAGGGCTGATTTTCTTTAGGATGGACTGGTTGGATCTCCATGCAGTCCAAGGGACTCTCAAGAGTCTTCTCCAACACCACAGTTCAAAAGCATCAATTCTTCGGCACTCAGCTTTCTTTATAGTCGAACTCTCACATCCATAGATGACATTTTTTAAACCATGTTAAAAATCATTCAGCTTAATAAAGCTGAAATGAAAAATTTGAACCTGAAAAGCTGAAAGAAAATTTCCCTAACATGGGAAAGGAAATAGTCAGCCAAGTCCAGGAAGCCCAGAGTGTCCCAGACAGGATAAACCCAAGGAGGAACACACAGTAATCAAACTAACAAAAACTAAAGACAAAGATAAAATATTAAAGCAGCAAGGAAAAAATGACAAATAACATACAAGGGAATTCCCATAGGGTTATCTGCTGATTTCTCAGCAGAAATATAAGCCAGAAGGGAATGGCACCATATATTTAAAGTGATGAAAGAGAAGAAACTGCAAGCAAGAATACTCTTATCCAGCAAGACTCTTGCTCAAATCTGATGAAGAAATCAAAAGTTTTCCAGACAAGCAAAAGTTAAAGAAAATTCAGCACCACCAACTGTACAACAAATGATAAAGGAACTTCTTTAGGGAGGAAACAGAAGTGAAAGAAAAGATCTACACAAAATAAACCCAAAACAATTAAGAAAATGGTCATAGGATCATGCATATTGATAATTACCTTAAATGTAAATGGATTAATTGCACCAACCAAAAGACAGAGACAGGCTGGGTAGATGAAAACGTGCATGTATGCACTGTCGCTTACCACATCACTCTACTTAAGTTCCCAAATTGTATGTATTTATTTTATACTGTTAGGTTAATCATGTTTCCACTGTGGCTTGCAATTGTAATTATCTTTTATTTTTTGTCTGGCTATTGATTGTGAAAGCTGATAAGCATCTTTTACTATTGTGATTATGTAACTATTATTCACTTAATATCACTGTATCATAATTGGTCAGCAGAAAATAATAGAATGCTATATCACCAAGTGAAGTGAAGTCGCTCAGTCGTGTCCGACTCTTTTTGCGATCCCATGGACTGTAGCCTACCAGGCTTCTCCATCCATGGGATTTTCCAGGCAAGAGTACTGAGTGGGTTGCCATTTCCTTCTCCAGGAGATCTTCCCGACCCAGGGATTGGACCCAGGTCTCCTGCATTGTAACCAGGTGCTTTACCACCTGAGTCACCAGGGAAGTGCTTTTATATCACCCAAACTACCATTTAATAGAAAACCCTGTAATTGCTCTTTAAAATCCAGATGCATATAAGAGTTATCTTGGAAGTTTTTGAAAAATACAAATGCCTCGGTATTCCTTTGTTTCTCCAGAGCACCAGATATGTTTCTAATGAGAAGCCATGTTTAAAAACAACTAGACTATATGAGGATCCTTTACTTTTATCTAGTTTGTTTCACTTTTTCTATTAATATGTCATATTCAGTGCTCCCATTTCATTTAGTTTATGTTTTCCAATTTCTCCCTCTCTTTTTTCTTTATATTCTTTCTGAAGCTTTTATCAAGCATAGTAGAAAATCTTTTTTGACCTAGTATGAATAGAATGCTAGATTTCTAATTTAAAAAAGATACACAACAAGCAACAAAAGTTTACAGTATAGCATAGGGAACTATAGTTATTATCTTGTAATAACCTATAATGGAAAATACTCTGAAAAATAATATGCGTATATGTACAACCCAAGACATGTATATGTATATGCGTAACAACTGAATCACATTTCTGTGTTCCAGAAACATTGTACATCAACTATACTTCAATAAATATATCTATATATAAAGAGAAAAATCATTTGACTTTATTAATTAACATATACTAAGTTCACACATAGTCTAAATAAATCTTTTCACAATGCACTATATGATTCTAGCCCAAAACACAGATTACAAGAATTAAGAAGCATTCTTGATGTTCTGATATAAATGATCTAAGAATTGTGTTTCTTATGCTTTACAAAATAGAGGTTAGTTATTTAGTAAACATGGATGCATATTAATGTTAAGACCTTTTAGGGAAGGGCTACCTATACTATACCTACCTATACAATACCATACCTAAGGAGACAAAATATAAGTACTCCAAAAACTATAAGAGACTGATCAAAGAAATTGAAGGCAACACAAACAGATAGAAAGATATACCATATTCTTTGATTGGAAGAGTCAATATTGGTACAATGACCATACTACCCAAGGCAATCTACAGATTTAATGAAATCCCTATCAAATTACCAATGGAAGTTTCCATAGAATTAGGACAAAAAAATTTAACTTTGTATGGAAACACGAAAGACCCTGAATAGCCAAAACAACCTCGAGAAAGAATGGGTGTTGGAAGAATCACAGTTTCTGATGTTTTTCCCCTACACTGTTGGTGGGAATGCAAACTGGTACAGCCACTATAGAGAATAGCGCAGTGATTCCTTGAATAACTGGGAATAGAACTGCCATATGACCCAGTAATCCCACTGCTGGGTCCCCAAGGAAACCAGATTTGAAAGAGACACATGTACCCCGATGTTCATTGCAGCACAATTTATGATAGCTAGGACATGAAAGCAACCTAAATATCCATCAGCAGATGAATGGATAAGGAAGTTGTGGTACATATACAGAATGGAATGTTACTCAGCTATTAAAAAAGAATGCATTTGAATCAGTTTGAATGAGGTGGATGAAACTGGAGCCTATTATAGACGGTGAAGTAAGTCAGAAAGAAAAATACCAATACAGTATATTAATGCACATATATGGAATTTAGAAAGATGGTACCAACGATCCTAAAAGCAGGGCAGCAAAAGAGGCACAGACGTAAAGAACAGAATTTTGGACTCAGCGGAAGAAGAGGAGGGTGGGATGGTTTGTGAGAATAGCATTGAAACATGTATGTTACCATATGTAAAACAGATGACCAATGCAAGTTCAATGCAGGAAGCAGGACACCCAAAGCTAGTGCTCTGGGACAACCCAGAGGGATGGGGTGGGAAGGGAGGTGGGAAGGGGGTTCAGGGTGGGGGACACATGTGCACCCATGGCTGATTCATGTTGATGTTTGGCAAAAACCACCACAATGTTGTAATTATCCTCAAATTAAAATAAACTAATTAATTAACAATTTTTTTCAATGCTAACACAAGAGAACTTACAAGAACTCCTTTTGCTCCAAGAAGTGGATGTTCTGCAGTGGTTGTTCAGACATGAAGGGTCTTGGCAGGTAAGGTAGCTGGTTCTCCTTCAGGGCAGGAGCACAACTCAGACCCTGGAAAAAATATATTTCCCATTCAAGAACCTCCAAATAAGAATATTCTAGAACTTGTTCATTTGGTCTTTTGACAATTGTCTATTTAGCATCTTTGGTGTCTCAGATGAGGTGCCGGGGCCTGGAAGATACAGGAATCAGGCTGAGAGGCCCTCCCAGCTGGTCGGGGAGCAGCCAGATGCAGCGTCCTGGGGAAGATGGAGAGAGTGGAGACTGTCACACCCACTGGCAGCCTGTGGGCCAGGTCTGGCTCCCAGCGTGTTTTGTTTGGCTTCAACAGTGCTGTGCTAGATTAGTTTTTAAAATTATGAAATAGCTGCCAACATGAAAAAATTTGGAAAATTCATGCACACTCATGAACATGCGCTCCCCACACACATTTACCTCCAGATGTTCGACATCTTTTTATAAGCTCAGGAGACCTAGAGACAACCAGGCCCACCTTTCAGGAGGACATAACTTGGTTCCCCATGTTCCCCCACAACTGCCCATGGACGCCCCGGAAGGGCCGCCTGTGTTACCAGTCAGACCACCAACTGGAGATTCGCTAATGTGAATGTATCATCAGCCACAGATGCAAGCCATATATGCAATGTACATTTTCTAACAGCCTCATTTTTTTAAACAGGAGAAACAGATAAAAGTAATTTAGCAATGTATTTTGTTTAACCCAATATGTCGAAATGTGATTCCACCAATAATTTTTATATTTAAATTTTTAAAATATATTTAAAATTTTATTATCTCAATAATTTTTATTGAGATACTTACATTCTTTATTCATATTAAAGTGAAAGCGTTAGTTGTTCAGTCGTGTCCCACTCTTGGCGACCCCATGGACTGTAGCCCACCAGGCTCCTCTGTCCATGGGATTTTTCAGGCAAGAATACTGAAGCAGGTTGCCATTTCCTTCTCCAGGAGGTCTTTCTGATCCAGGGGTTGAACCCAGGTCTCCAGCATCGCAGGCAGATTCTTTACTGCCTGAGACACCAGGGAAGCCCGTGCGAAATCTTCGTAATTCAGTGTTATTCTTACAGCGCATCCCAGTTCAGCCTCTGCCTGTGTCAGTGCTGCAGGCAGGGGCAGACAGGACGGTGGAGGGTTACAGCGTGGTACCTGGTGCGGGGGCTGGGGCGTGGTACCTGGTATGCGGGGGCTGGGGCGTGGTACCTGGTGCGGGGGCGGGGGCGTGGTAC